AGTGGCCAGTGGTTTATTTCACCTAAAAGTGTTGAAATGTGTCTATAATTCCCTTTCTGCAGCCGCTTTGTAGATTAAACTTTTTATCCTCGCAACCGTTTGGTCACCCAATAAATGGTAGTGAACTGAATCAGGAACAAACCATTTCATCACAAACAACTGACCCCCCTTCAGCCTGAAGTGAAGATTGTACGAAACGACTACTAATTAGGAAGATTTGGGAAGCCGGACCATGAAGACAGAACTGGAACGGAAAATTAGCTGCTAGTTGCTTGAGCCTAATATTTAATGATCTTCACATAATGTGGTTGAAGATGTCACAAGTTGATCCTCCTCTCCCCATAGTCGACACATTGGCGAATTTTTACTTGTTGATCTCGTGGCAATTCCTTTACCCTTTCTTAACATTAACTCACAAAAATATTCGTAAATAGGGAGATAAAATATCCCATTCCCTTCCCATATTACTTGCTGGAGGCCTAGACACCAAGGCCTCGAGACTCGGTGCTGCTCTCCTTAACTTTTTCATCTCAAGATATATATGCTGCCCTCGGTCTCTGTAAATGCTCAAATGTTGCCTTTTGCTGACCATGGACATTCATGCTGTGGCTGTATGGCACACTGCAGTGCTGCCTTTTGTTGAATCAACTTTAACCCAGATTTTGATAGCGAGAATAAAATCACGTCTTCTCTATTTTAAAACAACCTCCAGTTTATCCGGTTGATTGTGTCTTATAGTAACAAATGCAGGACCAGTGATTGCAGTTTTATGAGCTGTTTTTCCTGGCCTTATGAATTTAGTGCGAGGGGATTAAGTCAAACTGAAAGGATTAATGTACAGTCAAGAATGGCTGGTCTACAAACTCACGAGATGGGATGCAAGCTGTCTGCACACAGCCAGGAGGCGCAAATCTTTAAAATGCAATGATGCCTGTTTTTATTGCTTCATAGCGATTGTGAATGCAGCGATAGAAGAAGATGCAGCTCAATTTATTAGTGAGAGTTTGGTGGCTCTGCTTTTCACCAATGGTTATTAATGCCGGAATTATGGCACCACAGGTTCCTTAATGCCATTTTGAAGAGACATTTGTGGCTGCAGGTAAATCCGTTCCTAAGGAACAACCATCCTGATTTCTATGTCGATGGAAGGCAAGGAAGGGCAAATGCTGAGGATGTAGAAAGCGGTGAAGACGCTTAAACAAAAAGACAGATAATGACGTCTTACCTCAGCAATTGCATCAGTTTCGTGTTATGCAGACATGCTTCCAGCGAATGAACAACACTAGTCATGACCATAACATTAGCCAGCAAAGATCGTTACAGAGATGTCTACAGTGGCTGTGTGAAAATGTCGTTTATGTGAGCACGCAATACCTGCTTCACATCCCCGCCAGCTAAATTGAGCCCACATGGATATGGCTAGGCAGCACAAAATTGAGAACAAAGTGGTGGAGAGACAGACACGAAAACTCACTCCTACTAAACGATGTTACAGCACTTCTTGTGCTAAACAACACTGCTTTTGGGCTTTTTCACCACTGCCGATGCACTTAAGGCATGACTAACACATTCACCCTTCT